TTGCAGAAGGCAGTTTTTACCAGTCTAAATTCTTCTGAATTTACATTTTCTTGTAAGTTCCAAAATATTCTTAACAATTACTACAAAAAATCCCATCCGAACATCGTCTTTCGTACTACCGGTCAAATGACCGGTCGCGGTAGGTAAGACAGCATACAATTTTTTTTCCAAAAATAAAAATTGAAAAAACAAATTAACATTGAAAAATGTTTTATACTCACATATTAGGAAAAGTCATAAAGTTTGATGACGATTCAATTACGTTTGATATGAAAAATACTAATCGAAAAATCAAAAACGGTCATTTGACCGGTCCCGGTAGGAATAGTGTTAATAATAATTTAGCAAAAGTGGCAAAAATGTCGAATTGCAACCTTTTGTTAATTCACTTAATTCCGTAAATCCTTTACCACCAAGTGTGTATTCAAGCTGCTCTCTCATTTGAGTCGAAATAGATTCAATTTGTTAGCTCGTATATTCGCATCTATCCATTATGCTCACCTGTATAAATAAACCTCACTGAATTCAATACATTCTTACATAACGAGAGCGAAGCGTCAGAGGAACATTTTCAGTGCATTTCGCAACCTTCCAACAAATGGAATAGGTTAGCGCAATCCGGTGGTCGTAGAACAACATATCATGAATTGAATTCAATACGAGAGAAATATCGAGCAATCGGTAAGATGATATTTGCGCCGGTGCCCTCCGGAGGCGGTCAGACGGTATATGGTAGATTCATGGTTTGCGAGATGCATGAAGCAAGTATTCGTTATTTGTCAAAGTAGAAAAATGGAGAAACATTTTTTATGATGGTACATTTTAAATGTTATTCAATTTAAAATCATTGCTTCAACATCTTAAATTATTTTATTCCATGAGTTCACTCAAATAGTGAGCCTGCTTTAGAGGCTTCAAAAAATCGCTTTTTTGGGGAATTTTTAGGGAAGGAAATAAATATTTAATGAAAACAAAACTTTCAGGTTTTATTGTTAAATATTTTAACATTATTATTTCAACTTCTTAATTACTTTCATTAAAATATGTCATAATGTACCACTCAAAACAAAAAAAATCAAAACAAATATATATAGATATCTAGTTGAACTTAAAAAATCCAGAAAAAATAAGAAATTCACCAATTTTTTGCAACTTCAAAAAAAATCATTATTTGATACAAAATTTCATTTTAAATTGTTTAAAAAATGAATTAACTATAACTTTTTTAAGTTTTTTTTAGGTTCAACTTGAATAGAATTTAATCCTGAATACAATGAGCAACTAGTGGGGCGCATGGCATCGTGGCTTGAGGCAATTGCTGGAACTTCCCGTACCAAAAATTATTTATTTTAAAAAGATTAACATTTTTGAAAAAAAAATACTCTGAAAAAATTGGATTTTTGAAAAACTATACATTTTTGACAAAAATTTACTTTTTTTTGAAAAAAAAAAGAATTTTTGAGGAAAAATTTATTTTGAATTATTTTGAAAATTCAGAACATTTTTTCAAAGCGATCGTACTGCTTTAACTGCATAGAGACAAAGTATCGAAGCGCGTAAGCGCCGCGTTGATGTCTAACGGATAAACATTGGTACGGAACCCATAGGAATGTAAACCAAATTTATACTTATTGATAATTTGATGTTCATATGTCTAATGATTATTTTTGACCACCAAATGTAATTTTTTTACTTTGTTTACTAGATCTCCGAAACCGCTAGACTCTTCATGAAAATTTGATCAGTTCTTCATCTTGTTAATACAAGTAAAATGTTTTTTGAATTTGAAATGTTTTCAAATCGGACGCTTCGTTCTCTTAAAAACTGAGTTACCATTTTTGGCACTTTTTACCTCATATCTTTGGAACGGCTAGACCTGCCTCCGCCAAAAACTAATCAGCACGTCTCCTTATCAATACGAATCGAATGTTTTTTGAATTATTCAAATTTTGCCCATCTGTGTTCCCGAAATCGTCGACTAAGATTTGTATCCAAATACACGCACACACACACACACACATACATTTATTTTTTCTAAGGTATGCCAAAATATTCAGAAGGTTTTGAAACGTAAAGATATATACAAATTTTCGTTTTCGATTTTTTTACGATTACTATAACTTGCCCTACGAGAAGTTAAAAAAATCATTATTTGATACAAAATTTCACTTGAGATTGTTTAAAAAGTGGGTTAATTATAACTTTTGATAAAGTTTTTTTAGGTTCAACTAGAATAGAATTTAATCCTGAATACAATGAGTTTTGTCTCGTTTCGATAGCACGTTTAGTTTTTCTCCTATCTTTCCCGCCAATTAGGAAGAATCGAAAAAATTAAAAACCGAGAAATCGCGCGAAGTTTTCGTTCTGCTTGTGTACATGCTTGAAGTTCGCTCACTATTTCTTCTGTAATTCCGAAAATTATTTAAATTTGTATCTGAAATGTTAGGAATATATTCTTGGCTAGTTTTGGAAGACAATTTTGCAAAGAAAATCGATTTTAAACAATATGAATTTTGAAATCCATCTGGATTGGAGGCACTGCCGAGTCCTCACAGATCAAGATCCGTGTTGTCTAACAATAAGTATCAGTGCTATTTCATCCAGAGCTTTATATTTTATAATTGGAACGTTAGGCTTTATTTCTTAATCTCAAAATATTACATAGCTTCTAATTATGGAGATTAGACATATTATGATTCTGATCTGATCTTATGATTTTCATCCAATGTCGAATATTTTCTGTTCGATATTTGCCATCGTCCTCCTCCTGAGTCGATCGACTTTTCTTGGCGCGTTGCACGCGTCCGTGCAGTAAAGTGTTCGTTATTTGTCAAAGAAGTATAAGTACGTAAAATGAAACCAGTGATTTTTATGGTCGCTGCATTGCAATTCCTGGAAAATTCTGTGACGCGGGAGTACGTGACCAGCGGTGAATTTATTAGGAAATATTTTATAGATTTCAAATTCGAAACTTGCAGGCATTTTTTAAAAATGTAAATAAAATTGATTGTTATGATTTTAAATCAATCTATGATATATTTCCATAAAGAGTGAATGTTTCACTGCAAGTTTAAGCATTAAAGCACTAAAGATCTCCGAATACTTAAATAATTTCAAACTTTAACAGATATTGGAACTTTCCATAGTAATAGCAAAAAAGTGGAGAATGATATTTTTGTATATATTTACGTTTCCAAGGTTTCTGAACCTTTTTTCTTTCATTTTCACACATTCCTTTCTAAACAAAAAAATCTATTACTAAGCCAACATTCTACAGATTTAATCTCTCATGAATTTCCCAAATGACTTGAAAAGAAAAACTCACGCCCTTTTACACCTTCGTACGAGAACATAGTAGAAGCTAACAAACTTCTCATATATATATTGGCCGTGTACATGTCCATTACATATTTTGCCATAAATCACGAGCACATACAACGGCGAATTCACAAAGTAGCAATATCTCACAAAAGCGAAGGACTACATGTTGCACGGACTACCAACACATTTTAAAAGATAGAAAATACCGGTAATAGTTGAGGGAAAATTTAAGGGCTTTATTAATATTTATTGTTGAAGACTATAAGGGCTACGTGTCAGTAACGGACATGAAATTGTTAGACTTGTCTGGGATTCAAATGAACTTCTGATTTTATCCTGAATATTAGCTTAAACTAATTAATACTAATAGTAAATGTTCCACGTTCATAAAAAACTGAAGAAAAATATTGACATATTAAATTTTTGCTTATAATTTAATTACAATGCAATAATTGATCGTAACTGAACGACTGACCAAATCAAGCGTATTGAAATTTCAAAGATGTCAAAATAAAATACTAACTTTTTAAGAACCTTTTGTTCCTTATCTAAGAAATGGCTGCACCTGTCTCGAAGATCAAGTTTGAACAAAATCACTATCAAATCTAAATCACTGATATTACATAAAGGACTGATTTTAAATTTTTGAAGACAATTTTTAATTTTCAAAATTTTACTTATTATTCTTTTGGATAAGTATAAAAATTATACAACAAAAAACTGCAATGATTATAGCAAAGTATACACGTCTTCATAGTATAATGTGATTACTTAAAAGTTTTAAATAATAAAAATATATGATAAACCCATTTTAAAAATAACTGAATCTAGTGGTGCATGGCATCGTATCTTAAGGCAAATTGCTGGAACATTTCGTACTGTAGAATTGGCGACGCCACTTTGTAGTCTAACGGTTGAACATTGCAAATCCTAATACAGATCCCATAGTAATGTAAACAAAGCATGTATTTATTCATGAAATCTCTATAAAATACCTGACAATTTGATGTGCGCATGTCTAATGACCATTTTTGACTGTCAAATGCCGTTTTTTAGATTTTTTATTGGATTTCGAAACTGCTGAACATGTCTTCTTAAAAATTTAATCAATTTTTCATTCCATTCCAAACGCTCCGTTTTCTTAAAAACTGGAACTTAGCCTTGCATCTTCAGAGCGGCATGATATCTGCCAAAAACTGATCAGCAGATCTCCCCATCAACAGAAATCGAATGCTTTTAGAATATTTCAAATCGGCAAATCTGTGCTTTCGAAATTATCGATGAAAATTTGTACCCGCACATACATACATACAAGCTACACACACACTAAGTATGTCGGAATGTTTAGAAACTTCTGAAAAGCAAAAAAATGGCAAAAATTTTTATTTTCGAATTTTTGCGAATAACTTTACACTACGGGAAGTTAATAAACCGTCAAATTTAAAATATTAGATTTATACCAAAAACTTGTCTATTTATTGACTATACTTACAAAATTAATATTCACATTTGATTGTCGTTGAAATCTACCTAAGAAATATGATTTTAATATTAGAGAATGAATAATAATGCTTCAGAATCTTGAATTTGAATAATATCCGACAAACCTATCCATTATCCCGACAATACATTGAGAATAATTCAGAGAGCAAATCCGATTTTGTAATATTGGAACTCACCTACGACTTCTACGTCGCCGCCGACAAGATAAGTGTGAAAGGAGGGCGCGTCGGCCGTCACCTCGCAGCTGTATTGTCCTGTCACCGTTGATTCGACTGCCGTCAGCACCAGCTGCGAGTCATTGGAACGCGATCTCTGCAAAGAAATACGTAATCATTGTCAGATGATTTTCTACTATCTGCTTTCAGGAGGCATTAAAATATATAGAAGAGCTTTCTTAACAAAGCTTTCACGTTTCCTCACCACCAAGAGTAAGAAATTATAGAAGACCACTGATTGATTTTCTCTTGTTTCATAACTTCTGTGTTTTCAATAAGTTTATTTCGGAGTTTAGGATTGAAATTGGTTTATTTACGAGTTTGGGATTGGATGGAATTGAATTATGCTTTATTTTGAGAATTTGATTTATGAATTATTCTGAAGTGTTCCGGTTCTTCGTATCGGTTTACGTATGCGAGCATTTTCAACAAAATACAAATTTTTATATAGGAGCGTCTAAAAAATAACAACTGAGAGCATTTTACCCAAATCTAATTTTAGAAATTGTGTAAATATCTGTATCCAAATACATACTCGCGAGAATTTGATAATTTAAGGAAATGAAAACTTCTTCAACGTTTAATTATATTTGGTCACTCTCCCTTTGACATTGCAATAAGTTAAATACAAACTTTTTTTATTTATTTAGAAATTAGCTAGTCAAATTAATGCACATTTCACTTGCTATATTAGTTCTATCGTAAATTCAATATTAGTAACAAAAAAAAATTGGTTCTGATTAGGATTTGTCGATTTTTGAAAACCGGTTCTAAAAACCGTTTGGTTTTGGAGATGAACATGAAATTCGAAAACCGTTTTTTATTATCTGTTTTCAAGGTATTCTTAGTGAAGGATATATGTAGCGAGATGTACTAGATTGACGAAACTATTACAAATGGTTCAAGGAATTTTGTGGTATAAATGAGCATGCCATTGTCTCTATATTCTAAAATAATTTCATTTTTTTTTATTTGAACAGCGATCAAAACTACATGCTATTTTGAAGTATATCCTAACGCAATTATATTTTTCTCAAATTAGAGCAACCACCCTTGTGTTTGTGTGAATTTTTTATATTAAATATGTATAACTAATAGTTTTTGAAGTATATATTTTTTATAAGCAGATATGCCTACGAAGGGCGATTTTCACTTGAGATTTTATTTGCAATCTGAATTTGATTTCTTGATTGGTTCTCGACATATTCAAGAAGGAAGAAAAATTGTTGACAGTATTGTCTGTTATAAATACTAATGCGATTCTACATTCTGAAATAATTTTAACTTCATATTTCGACTGGAACTTCAGATATTCAAAAGGAGAAACAGAATCGCACTTTTTCTGGTCTATCGAATCTATCTCTATTTCAAATACGGTTTATAGAGTTTTGTTGATAGTATTGTCTATTTTAATTATTGGTGTCAATTACGGATGCTATATTGATACCTCGATTGGTTCTCCAGATATTCAAAAAGGAGGAACAGAATCGCACTTCATCTACAAATTTAAGAATATATCTTATCTAGAAAACGGCTTAGGGAATTGTGTTGCTATTGTTGTCTGCTAAGTAAAAAATACTTTTTCAAAACTAGTGTCTGAAATGTCCGTTTTTGTATAAACCTTAATTTCGACAGAACATTCTTGATGAAACTTTCATTGATACTATATCATAAGCCTATGGATACCTGCTTCAATGAGACCAACATATTTCAAGATTGTGATAATAAATAAAAATTTATTTAAAAATTACACTTAAAGATACATTACCAATAACCTAAAAATCACAATAACCAATTGGAATTCTCAATAATATAAATTATTCAATATTTATCAAGAGTGGTAAGTATTGAAGCAAGAGTTGAGTTTATAGTCGACACTCCTACACATAGGCAGTCATATGGATGTCACCTATAGGTGACGCTCTATCAAAAGGCTTAGGTACAAAGTAAATATTAAAGTCAATTTTAATAATAAATTCCTCCAACGATATTAATAAAATCCTTTTCTGTGACAATACTGCTCGAACGGTATCGATTGGCAAATTTACCTCCGAGTTTAATATTGCCTCCATTGAAATCGGAAGTTCTAAAAAATGTATTTCGTACCATTTTGTATATTATTCCAACTTTTTATTCATGAGTTTGATTCGCATTAACAAGGAGAACCGGCACGGTCTATGCTCAATCGATAACACTTAGCAGTTCATGCATCGCTTCCATTAGTATTTTTGCATGACGTGATCTGAATAATATTACAAAGTTAAATATTGCGAGAATCAAAAAGTAAAGAAGATTAAGTTGACGGAATTGAATAAGTAGCTACATTATGAACAAATTGATTTTCATTTTGTCCCGCGACGAGGATTTGCTCGAATATACGAGGATGGCGATGGTAATGGTGATTTGATAAGAAAATCGAGAGATTTAATCAAAATAAATAAATAATCGGAATGGATGTTTGAATATATGGATGAGATAATTCTGAATGTTTTATCAAGACTTTTGTGTAGACAATATGCCCTGTCAAGTCATTGTAATGAGTTAAGAAAATATTATTAGACAATTTGCTGATATATACCAACATGTCGTATTAAAAAAAATATCAGATCAAGTTGCTAAAATTTTCATCTTGACATAATCGATAAGAAATGATATTGAGCTACTGATATTGGTTTAAAAAATATTTAAAAATCCATAGAAAACATAATTACGCATGGTTTGAAAAATTTTCAGTATCAAATCAAAAATTGAATAAATAATGTATTTTTTATCTTTCATTTTAGAATTAATATAACAATATGTATTTATTTATAATGAAGGTTAATAGTGACTTATTGTGATTATTTATTCCTAAAGAAGTACCTTGCACTTTGAAAGTTAAGATTTTTGCAGTACCTTAAAACCCAATTTTTTTATCAACAATCCCAAAAAACAGGTTTTTTTTTACTTTTACTAATATAGTTATGGTGTGATGTACTAGTTGATGTAACCTTACATTCTAATTTGGAAATTTATATAACGCCATCAGAGGACTATTCTGCCCACTATAAGACGGTGGGATTAAAACTATAAACCTCAACTATAACAAATTTAATGAAAATTGCCAAATTAGTTTTTTCCAATAATTACTGAAAAATCTGGTTGATTTTTACCCAAAGCAATTTTCAGCTGATATAATGCCAGTTCTTATCGAGTTGTCTTTTTGAGAAAACTTTGATGAAAGATCCAATTCTGGTCCACAATATATGTTACCACACATACACTTTATCGTAAATATTTACTTCAATTTTGTAGTTAAATAATTCAAAATGGCCTGAAACTTCAAGAAAGCCTAAAATTGGCAAATCGGACTTTCTGGCGAAAATATAAAATTCATTGCGAAATGAATAATAACAATAAACCACTAAAAACATTCTGAAAAAAAGTAAAAATTTGCTTATTTATGTTATTTAATTCAATTTTGACAAAAACCATGCATAATTATGTTTCCCATTAATTTTTAAATAATTTTAAAACATGACAATAGGTTATTAAATTCAACATCGTTACGAAGCTGAAGAGCTTTAATTTAACATTATTATCAAAATTTTATTAAATGAGCGATGGCATTTTAATTACCATTTATTATGTGTTGAAATTTTATAATAATTAAGTTACAATTTTGTTAATTTATTGTGTACCTATATTTATTTCATATATTTTAAGTAGTTTAAGTAGTTCATTTTAATTAAAATCTTATATCCTAAAGCAATTAATAAATTACTTCTAATTACGCACTTATAAACAAATACATACGAAATTTCATTTATTAATAATAATTCCTCCTGATAATATAATCATTTAGCATTTGGAGCAAACCCGTAGATTTAATGAGATGTATAATTGAGAGCAACCAACATCAGTATTACGATTATACTAATTGTTTTTAATTATAATAGCAAATGTTATTGGAAACACAAATGATCGATGTAGAGTGAAATATCTTGTTGCCATGGTAAATAAAATATGTTGAAAATTTTAAATGTTATCAAAACATATTCAATAATTAAACATTTTACATATGTCTTTCAATTATTGACTTTGTATTTATTACACATCCGTTCAATAAATTCTCTATTTATCCTTTCTCTAATTACACTTCTTTTTATTAAAATTTGATTTTTGATTGCATATTCTAAAAATCATTCTGAGCAATTTTTATATAGGTAAACAATATACCAAAATCAATCGTATGGATTCGTTACATATTGCGATATTTGCTTTCACATATGTTGTTTCATATTTGTTTTACAGTCTTTTTTCCATATGTACTTTTTATGTGCATGCCTTTTAATAAATCAATATAATATATCGGTTCAAAGGGATCACTGCTTAGTAGGGGGATTTATATTGTTTTTTTGGTTTACTTTGTTTTGCTTGATACTCTCCAATTTTGAATCAGTATATTATATTGTGATATTAATAAGTAATTTTAACTAGTGGTGCATGGCATCACAAATTAAATTTTTGATAATTTAATTAAAATAAAAATATTTAATAATAAAGGTGGTTAAAATAAACTTATAATTTTTAATGAAGACTACAATTAAGAAGTTTATAAATTTTATTCGTGATGTATAAATCACCCTACATATCTGGGCGATACGAGCAGAATTTTCTTTTATAGTTTCCTGAATTTTCAGAAATTTATAGAATTTATTGCTTCTGCTTAATGAAGCTTTACAGCATGTTTACAGCGTCAGGTCATGGGAATATAACTCATTTTTATTATTGCTCTACCTTTCGCTTGCATTCTGAATTTAATTAAACGAGGAAATGAGAGTGCACTATTTCGTTTAATTTCAATTATCTACTCCACGAATTTACGTTTTCGCATCAAGAATTTCGTATTCACATTTTGCTGTTCGTTGTAGGTATTGCTTATTTAATTTACTGGAGATATCGTTTTTCCGCTTTTTGTGCGAGTTCCATACGCCTAATTGAAAACAAACGCAGTTTGTAACATACTAATCACAACAGCTCATAGAACCCATAAGTTCTGATCGCTGTTCAAATAAAATTAAAAAAAAAATGATAGGAAACGGTTTGTTTTAAAAA